ATAAAACAAATCATTTCAAATGATATAAAATAATACATTACCTTTTGCCTGTGTAACATAAATCCTTCCTGACAAAGAAGTTTACAGTAATGATCTCGCTTCACGTTAATCTTGCCGATTTTTTTTACCACCCGTTACTGATCAAGGACATACGTGGGTTTAGTAAGTCAAATCAATACCAAGCATAAACGTTCAACCGTTAAACCGTTGGAGGAAAAATGCAAGGAGAAAGTTCACTCTGGCTTCAACCCTTAACCTCGTTAAGCCGTACCAAGACGGACACTGATGACCAATTGCAGATCTTTAGATACACCGTTTCCGTGTGTAGGGATAAATCACTTGAACGCGCCCCGTACCCGTAAATAGGGATAGACCGCCACTTATCCTAGAGAAATGGCCAAGCTACCTGGTATAGCGGTGGTACCACTACCACGTCGGGGAAATCGTGTTCGCCTGTCATACATCTACGTTTATCTAACCGTACCCACAGTAGAAGCGGTGTATCTTAAGGTCCCTTTTCTTGGTAGTTGCCGAAAAGGAGGAGTGAGTGGGGGAGGGGGTATTTGTTATGGGTCGGAGTCCGATCTGTGAGTCCTCTTCTCCCCCGTTACACACTTCTAATTGTACAAAATCTCTTGAGCTATAGCACAGCCAAAGGCACAGCCGCTGTTTCTGTTTTTGCATATCTACATAAGAAACCACATGGGCGACGTAAAACAATCATCCGTTCAATTACTTTAAAAATTTATTAATAAAAATATTTCCTTATTTTTGCAGTTATAATATTCCTTTGGACTAAGGCAACATTCAGCCGGACGATAACCATAACTACGTATACAGCCTCCACTTGCATGCTTTAACTCTTTGCTTAAAATGGCATAGATATTTGTGCTTAGCATATTTGACTTTACTGTACAATCTTCATGGATAAAACAAACCACTAGGGTCCACATAGAAGCCACCCATCATTGGATATCATTTCACGATAAATTTCAGACAAACAATGAAACAAAACGGCGAAAACGAACATTACAAAGTAGCCTCATGAGTAGCAAGCGTCTCCCCGGGAGTTTGCCAGGTTGGCACGAGAGTAAGAAAGAGGAATGAAGGGGGAGGGGGGGGGGGGGGGGGGGGAGGGTCCTTCGATCTTCCATTTCTTTTGCCCTCGCTACAACTTTCGCGCAATAACTCGATTGGGAACGCTTGCTTCGCAGGCTTATTACAAAGAGATTACGCATCACCTCTATGGCAAACGGAGGAGATGACTACGTGACTATTTTACCACCAATTATCACTCTTGCCGATTGCATTTTTCGGCCGCTGTCAAGGCGGAGAAGAAAATTTTGACGTCAACAACCGAAGCGAAACGTAAGGATTTACCACTCCAATACCATTAAGCCAATTTCAGTTTCGACCACAAAATCACAAAAGTAGTACCAGCCTAAATACCATTAAGCCTAAAACTAGGGTTAGAATAGTCTAACTTTTAAGAGCCCCGACGGAGAAGACGTGAAATTTAACGACAATGCACTACGTAGAAGTCAAACACAATTGTTATGAAAACTAGAGGTGACGGAAAGACGAAACCAAACTTAAGTCACTAACCGAGGATTTCACAGTGTCATACGTGTGTGCCATTCTCGACATCAATCTCCCCTGTCGCACGTAGTCGATCGTACAACTCGTCCCAGGCAGACGCGGTTCCCGTCATATCGGAAGACGTCTCCGTGCTTATCACGCTATTCCTGCTCGCCGTGTTATTATGTTTTGAAGCACTGTTATCTTTGGAGCGTTCCCCAAACCAGTCATCAAGATCGTGGAGTGTTTTTATGCCCTTGACGCTTGACGCTGCTGACCTGTCTCCATCCTTCTCACTTCTGTATAAAAAAATTGAAGCCTATCAGTTTTAATCAAGTACCGACAAGTCCTCTTACTTGTAGCTAGAGTGTGAGGCAGGCACTGGAAGGGGACCGGAAAGGGGGTAATTTCAGGTTACCGGAAACCGGATACCTTCAGGGGTGTCTCACCACGTGCAAGTGATGTAGCGCGTTCTGGTTAAACTGAAGATACCTAAAACCCAAATTAAAGCTTTATGAACTGGTTATCTTGATAAACAAACTATCCTTTTAATGCGAGCGTCCGGATGAGCTTTTCAACGCTAAAATACAATGGGAATTTCCTTGATTGACCTAACATTTTGAGGGATGTTTCTTTAGTGTGTAAGCAATAAAAAGGTGTCGGAGAATTTTGTTTCTTGAGAGGCATTGGCTCATTTTTTTACGCCAAATTATCTGAAGGGATAGGATGTAAACTTACCGGTTGCTAAGACTCTGGGTAATGTTCACGTGATTTTGATTGACAAACGGACTTTGACACGTGCAGCCCGATAAAGCCTCCTGCAGCTCATGAACTCGCCTACGATACCTGTCTTCCAATTTCTGATAAGCGTTCGCTACCTTTCTCTGTTCTTCGTACTTTTGCTTCAGCTCTCTTTTCTCCGAGTCATGCTTCGCAAGTAGCTGTTTATTTTCGTTCTTCAGTTTCTCTATAACTTGTAAATAGTACTCTTCCAAGTCCTGATGGTCAAAGACCCTTGGTTTTATTTTCGTGCCTACACCGCGAATCTTGGGTGGATCCGGAGCCTCCAAAGCTTTACCTGTGACTGTACGATGCTCGGCTTCGGCGATTATCTTCTCGTGTATGGGTGTGTTGGCTGAGGTCTCGCTAGAATGCAATTCCGGGGTTGAATCTGGTGGATATAAATTCCACAGCGCAAGCCTCGTTTCATACATTTCCCTTGCAGATTGTGATCTTGAAAGTGGCAAAGTGTCGGTAAAATTTTCTTTACCGAGAGGAGACGTAGGTGTCTGGTCATTAGCGGGACTTACTGGAGATACTTGAGCTACAGGTACAGCTTTGGATATAGCGTAAGGTTTATGGTGATTATATGTTCGATTGGAAACTGGGACATTCCACGTTCGTCCATCAGATTTATGGGGTGGCAGGATTGAAGACTGAGTGTTAACCGGTTCAGCAGGCTGAACCACTCTTTCTGAGGATCCACCTGGAATTCTGGCCAATCCTTCGTCCACAGAGAGCTTTTCATTCCGTAGTGCCTTCCGTTCTCGGTTATGATTGGATTCCGATCGAGATTGAACCGCTCCCTCCAATCGCGCGAAAGGCACAGAGGTTTCGTCACGCTGAAGTAATTCCTCGAGGGCGTCATCTCTTTGAAACTCGTTCTGTGTGGTTATATCAGCATGGAAATCGTACTCGTTACGATGGTTAAGCATCTCACCGTTTTCCCTCTGTTTACCATCCACGTTGTCTACTCCCTTTTCCGCCGCCGCCAAATTGTAGCCCTCGTGGCTCACAACTACAGTCTCCTCTTTTACTGTTTGACGAGCTGGTGTTGCCACAGCCTTTACGCTAACAATTCCGATTGCCGTATGACGTTTCGGCTTATTTTCGGTCTTCCCTTCGGAGACGCGATCGATTTGCTGTCGGAAGCCCACGACGCCAATCGTGCGATGTCTCTTTGCTTTCACCGGGGACCTATCGCGCAATTCAGAGTTTCCGGAAGTTGTACTGCCCTTTTCGGTGACTTCAACAACTTTTATAGGCGCTCTCTCAACAGATTTCAAATTCGTTAACTCGTATTGGGTAACAACAGGTGCACGGTTATCCGCTACCCTATTAACCGCTGCAAACGGTTTATGAGTTGTTTGTGGCACCCCACCTGCGCCCCATCTTCCGTCGTATTCAGTCTCGTGAGGCGAAGTTGGTGGACTCTCCACACTCCGAGGCCGCATTTCATTTGCCGGACGCTTCAAGTAAATCTGCGCGTGCGCTTGAGCTGTTGTCTGAGCGCTCTTAGCATGCCTGGCGATTTCATCTTCATGAATCTTAATAAGTTCCTGCAGGCTTAACCGATGAGATGCGAGCACGCCAGGACTTGGGGCGCCATCGATGACACCCCACTGTTCGTGCGAGCTTACGGAGTAGCTCATGTCTGATGCTCTCAACTGCGTGTCAGCATCGCTTCGAGTTATTCTTGTTTCCACTTTTGTTTCTACAACAGCTAGATCTTCCACGATACTCTTAGGATAAGGCGGTTTTGGAGGCCCGGCATCGACTCCTTCTATTTGTTCTACTCTATTATCCGTCGGGGAATGGACGTAAGCATACTTCGGCCACGTTTGCGCCTTGACCCTCCTCCGCTCTCTGTCGTTCAATTCGTAAAGCTCCTCAAACGATTCAGGAAAAAAACCTTGACTTTCTCCGCTAAAACGTTTCGCTAAATCTTTCACTGACGGACTTTTCGGTTGATCATCGTGTTCATGCGTTCTGGGACTTCGAGTTGACTGAGTATGCACAGATGATACTTGCGTGACATTGTGGAAGACTTCCGTCACGCCTTCAGTGGAAGTCGTGACACTGTAATATTGTGGTCGATTTGATGTTGAAGCGTGGTGACCGGAAGAAAAAGGAGTGGCTTGAACGTAAACATGAGAATTGCGTGAATGATAAGGTTGGGCGTTAACGCGAATTCTTTGGCCGGGAAACTGATTGGATTGTGTGGCGGAGACAAACGAGACATTTCCGGTTGAGGTGTCCTCAGAAATCTTTGGAGGGCTCTTCAAAAAAACTGTCTTTTGCACCGAATGACCGTGCATTTTATCTGGAGAACTGGAGCCTAGTGACCCAGACCCCCACTGACCTCTGACGGCGTGATGACTGAGCGAGCTGGTGGACTGTTGCCATGAGGCACTAGAGGAGCTCAAACTTGATTGGCTGTAACGCCTTAATACCAGCGAGCCATAGGGTGACCTTCCTGTCATGTCATAGGCAGAATATACCCCGTGATGTTCCTCAGCTTCATCAGCTGAGGACCCCACTTGAGAACTGTAGCTTGAAGACAAAGATCGGGTAGACTCAAGGTGCCTGTGCCTTCTTTCTCTAAAGCCAGAGATGTTGGGCAACCTGTTCTCGTGGAAAGGAACTCTGGCCGAGTTATGTTGATTGTTTCTATCTAATGAAATTTCGTGAATGCTTTGTGGTCTTTCAGTGAATTTTCTCTCCGTATTTTGACCTTCATACCAACTCTGTGGACGGTCATGTTTCCTACTGTGTTTTGACAGTGAATTTTGGTAAAATTGACGATTTTTCTCTCGGCTGTCCTGGAACTGAGCTTGTCTCATAGGCCTGTTACCAAAGATAATTATGAAAACAGATAAATAAGTAAAGACATTAAAGGACGCCATCATTACTGGTCAATAAGGTAGTGAAAATCAAATGTAGTTTTTTAATAATCAGTTCTATAAGCCAAACTCCTTTCAAAGTTGCCTTTTGGCAACCAAAAAGTATTATAATAAATGCTCGCCAGACATACAATATTGGCTGCTAGAAATAAAGGATACTCCATTGAATATAACATGAACCAGAACAGTTTGTCGAATGAGGAGAGCCAGAGTGATCATAAATTAGAGACGAATATTATTATAACAAAAACAGGGTATAAACAGCATTTCATATAAATGTTTATCTTCCCTTCACTTTAGAAAAAAGATAGTAAACACTAACTTATAAGAACACTGACTACTACTGGGCACAATAATTGTGCCAGCTTAACACAGATGGTCACCAAATTGGTGACTTTATTTTACTGCCATTTTTGTAACCAATGTCGGCACTGACATTATGGCAATAAAGTAAAGTAAAGTGAGATAAGGACTTATTCCTCATACGAGTTGAACTTCAGTTCTTACAATATTATCAGTAACATCTTCCCTTCTTGCCAAAATGAGCACTATCACTTTATCATCCAAATATCACTTAAGAAATATGGATTTTCATTTACCCAGATTTAATAGTGTGTGTTACGGGAAACATTCAATAAGGTACTTTGGACCATATATATGGTCTAGATTGGACAGCAAAATCAAAGATAAACCTACTTTACAATCCTTCAAGTCCAGCATACGGCGTATTAACCTTGTGGATCTTATAAGTAAAAATTGTGGCTCCTGTCCTATTTGTAGTACTCGAGAATTTTTAAAATATTTTAAGCATTTTTCTATACATTTTAATGGGGATAACTCCGTAATCTTTTAAATTTTAAATTTTTACCTTTTACAAATTTTAGATTTTAGAGAATTATAAATTCACCTTATGATACCATGAATAAAATCATTTTATAATAAAATTTTTTTCTATCATTTTAGTGTCCCCAATTAGCTTTTATAAGCTAAAGACATGGACACTTAAATATCAAGTTGTTATGTTATGTTATGTTTTGTTAACATTGGATCTTTTAGTTTTCTTGCTGAACAGCAAATGGTTTTTAGGGTCGTTCTTAGACAACAGCGTGCAAAGAAAGTAGTGTCTGATAGCTCTGGGCAAGTGGATTTTGCTACTGGGCTAGTGAATTCTGTTTTTAACTTGCCCAACAGGCAAGTGATGTGTTTGAGGAAGTCGAACAATAAGAACTGTGAAATCAATTCTGCTTGTCAAAAAGCTTTTGGGGCTAGTCGAAATGACATCTGGGCTAGTAAATGCTAGCTTCAGCTTGCCTGAATGGCAAGCTGTAAAAATGATTTTCTTTGCACCCTGGACAGGGTATACAATTTAACTATTTCTCATCTTCAACAGGTTGTCATTTTGGACCGGACACTGAAAAAAAAGTATGAAGACTGGGAATGGGTGGTCAGAAATCATGGAACTCACAATTTTTTTTTTTTTTTTGCAAAATCAAATTTCACGATGTTATTTTGAAAAATTACCTTATTCTGTAAACAAAAGGAAAGTGAATCAGGTTAAAAAATAAGATGTCTTGTCTAAATCAGGGTCAGGGTTTAAGTCCCAAGGGTGATCAACATGAATTTTCTCCTCACAATAGAGCGCTTTTCGTATGACCTTGAAATGAAAACATGCAAACAAAACAGAAGCGACAAATGAACGGTAATAGAATGATTTTATTGGTTTGGTGAACAGATACAAACGCGCGTGGCTTTTGGTTGGTTAAGCGAATGCTCGGCTGAAAAAACTTCATCCCCGACGATCTTTCTGGAAATCAATCGATACTTTGCTTTGACCTCATACTACAACACAATTGGCCAATCGAACATGCCCTCCCCATATTAGGGTTTTCTTTGGCGGGAAAACGAAGAGTCCATGTTTTGATCTTTTCCTCCACTGGCTGATAAAACAAATAACGAACACTTACAGAAACCATTTTTCAAGGTCATACTAGCCTGCGTAGCATAAGAAAATCACTCTATCACTACATTATCAAAAGAAAAGGTTATGAGAATTAATAAAATGATCACCTTGGGGAAAATGTGTCGATCTTTTATCAAATTCTCTAAACTAATTCTTTGAGGAAATGCATGGAGATAAGTTTGGAGATTTTGTAAGTGGATATCTGGGCTTAAAGGGAACCTTCCCTCAAGTGCAATACTCTAGAAACCTATCACAGTTGAAAGAAGTAAATCAGAAGCTCCAGGGGTTGACAGAGTAGTCTCTCTTTTTTTTTATAGTTTTAGTCAAATGGCCAGGAGGAAATTTTGTGTATAAGATGAAGAAGCCACAGTAACACTCTCT